AATTGTGTTAATATTAACAGTTATTATGTTATACTAGTATATTACAAAGGTATGACGTCTGCTAGTTCATAAATGTCAGGACCTCAACTGAGAAAACAAACATCGAATATTGTGGACTTAAATGACCGTAAATTGTAAGAATATCCTTTTCTTTCAATGGTCGCTTACAATCCTCCCTCTTTATGACTGGATGGGGGATAGGTTTAAGCGTCAGTCTCTAAGCATTCAGACCTGTCTCTGTGATCGTCGTCACCCCTTAGTTAAGCCACAGGCAGCGGGTGTTCATGTTTAATACGACTTTGCATTGCTGTATAAATCCAAGCCGGGCAAATGGTGCTCGGAATGTGCGATAAAGCACGATGCGTTATACGGTTACAGCCTCTTGGCTATCATTGCAGTGCTCGGAATAGAAAGTTAAAAAGAACGAGAAACCTTTAAAGAGGATCGTAAACACAAGTTTTTATTAGTAACGATATCTATAGAAATAGTTTGATGTTGTAAACGACAATTTTTTCGTTTGAGTTTCAAATATATGTATCAAAACAATTATTACTATGACCAGAATTAATTTCCGAAATAGTTAGAACAGTTTCAGTATGCGAAAAAAAAATAGTTGTTCTTCTGACATTGACGGCATTGTCCCATTAGGTGTTTTATTCGAATATTAGCGCAATAACCCCGGCCGTCGTGTGTGTATGGCGCGTCTATTGGCATGGCTTTAAAATAAAATAAAACAAAATTTCAAGTTAATGCAGTAAATTAGTATTTTTTTTTCATTCGACTCTGATGTCATCACACAGTTACTATGTTAACCACAGCAAACAAAATACGTACATAGTAATAAGAGAAAATCCACACCACAACAGAGCACTAATATGCTGAAATACTTTCGTTAATCATAAATCGTGTGGTTTATTTGTAACGGACTTTGGTGACGATCAGCCGGTTACGAGCGTCACGTGTCAGTGGTTTGACGAGAACTAGTGTACCCAACGTTACCTGACATCTATGTATTACACTATCTAGTCGGTAGTTTGGCGATTTTCCGATCGTGTTCACCAACGAGATTGATAAATACAAACAAGGAATCGTCCGTGACGATAATCTTTCGTGATCGATGTCAGATATGTCTAAAAACACACATGTAAATTATTAAAAAGTAATTAGTATCCGCTTTATGAACTGACGGTCAAGATATTTCAGTTGAAAAATATTGTCCGCATCCAGGACCCGTAAGCGATTCACTGGTAAGGTGTGTATAAAAAGTCCAGGTTTTTCGCCTTCAACATCATGCCGATGTCTCGATCAAACATTTTACTCTGTTCCTCGGAGAAATGTTTTTTCCATTCCCCAATGACTCCCTTCTTGACACCTTTCATATCCGGGTCCTTATCTGTGCCGTCTGCGCGGAAACGGGACAGTCTCTTCACGGCTACTTCGTCCAATGGGTATCCGATAAATTCAGCAAGCGTACGAATCACGGTGTCGGGTTTCTGCATCAGATCCTCATAGGAGACGTGCAGGAAATTGTCGTCGTCGCGGTGTTTCAGCCATTCTGTCACGTGGTTCAACCAGGGGCCATACACAACTAGTCCTTCGGCGAAGTTCTGTACGAACGCCTCCCAGGGTATTGGCTCGCCGTCTTCACCAAGCGGGAGAGATGATTTCTCAAAACTATAGTAGTTGACGCACACATCTTTAGGGTTTCGCGATATATAAATAACCTTACATATTTTACCTTCGCGTAGCTTTTCGGGCACGATTGGGTAAGGTAGACGGGTTTTTATCAACCGGCGACTTGTTGTCATATCAGTGGGATCCGTGGCAAACATTTTTTTAGCTATACCAACAGCCCCCTCAGTATGAAACTGGCTGACGGACCATTCGAGTTGGGCCACAACTTTCCTTCCAGCGGCTTCAATGAGACCCCAGTTGTCGTACATCTCTCGGAGAAGCAGAGTCATGCGAGTGGCGCCAGACTTTGGAAATCCGACCACCAGTAAGTCCTCGTCTGTCAGCTCAAACTTGTCCAGTTCACGGTTTGTAAGTCTCGCTTCCTCTATATTTGGCGGTAAAAAGTAGCCTCTGTAAGACACAAAGCTGTCTGTTCCATGGGCTTCGGAACGTTTCCGTACGGACATGACGATACCGGTGTATATTGAATTGAATTATCGTCAACGGGCAAGGAATCGCTATTTTGGTCCAGCAGTCAGGCTCCGCGATGCAGTCTCTATCCTTATAATCTTAGCAGATCTTTCGAGTGGCAACGAAATATGCAGGAACGAACCACTACAGAAATAGGGATGAGCCATAATTATGACTTCACCATGGTAAATAAAGTCTGTACGCGACGCATGGGATTCATATCGAGTACAACGCGGTACAACGATTATGACCTTTTAATTGGCATTTTCAGTGTGTATATAACTTTTGGGACGTTATGGTTTGACCTGTGCGTCCGTGTGTCCGTGCATGCGTGCACCCGGACCCATATTTTAGTCATGCCTGGACTGATTACATTCAAACTTCACACATACATCATACATAATATTATACATATATGTACATCAAATTGTTTTATGATCTTATTCAAGATGGCAGCAATTTTTGTGCTGAAAAATTATCAAAATCAAGCATTTATGGATGGATTTTGTTCAAACATGGTGCATACGTTATGGAACCTTGATGCACGCAATTTTGCTTTTCAGATCTGATTTAAAATGGCCGACTAGCAGCCATTTTGTCTTAATGAATGCAGTTCTAGTGTCATATCTCTGCCATGCTTTGACTGATTATGTTCAAATTTTATATATTCATTATAAATCATGTCATGGATGTACAGATATATTTGTTTGATTCAAGATGGCCAAGTGGCGGCCATTTTTGTGCAAAAAAATCGTCAAAAAGAATTTCTGGCATTGTGGAACCAAATATTTGTCGTTTATGGATGGATTTTCGGCTATTTTGTTTTAATCAATGCGGTTCTAGAGTCGTATCTCTGGCATGATTTGACTGATTATTTTAAAATGTTATATATTCTTTCTACATCATGTTATAGATATACAGATGCATTCACAATGGACGATTAGTGGCTATATTTTTTAAATTAATGCTGCTCCACAGCAATATCTCTCAATATGGACAAGTACTCAATTGACAATCAGATACAAGACGACTGAATGTCAATCATTTCAGTGTTAACAAATCAGCATAATCAAGCATCAGCTTCTGGATCCATATCTCTGACATGTTTATGTTTGAACTACTAGTATATTACTGTACACAAAATTATATATCTTAAGTTTGATAACTAACGGAGACTGCGCCATGCATGGCTTGTTTTTACATGTTCTAACTTTCTGCGAACATGTTTCGTTCAGCATTTACTGGGAAGGTACTCTTTTTTGTTCCAAATAATGAACTAGTCCTGGTTACCAGCAAAGTTCTCTGTTTTGCCAAACACCGTACTCGTTTAATAGTTTCTTTGTTGTAAACAATTCCTGTTTACTAGAAAAGGACAGTTCTGAAAACCCGTTGTTCTAACACGATCCGAGGGGATAGTACAACTTTCCGTCTCATCATTTTAAAGTGGGACATTTTTGAGCAGCAACACCCTGGGTAAATTCTATATCGAATAAATACATGCTTACTCTACTGAACGATCTAAGCAGGTGAATTATGGTTGAATACAGCAAGTAGTTGACTATGGGACGTAGGGAAATCGGGTGTTATGTAACACACGTACGCTGTGGCAACACACAACCGGCGATGAGGCCAAGTGGGCCGCGAAAGTTTACTAGAACCTCGATACCATTAGCGTCCTCGTAGCCGACCTTTAACTATTATAATAATATATGTATAAAATGTCTTCAGCCCAACTGCACTGCCACCGGAACAAAACCTCGCATAGCTTGCAAACATACAATGCAGAATAAGGGCACGTCCTATAATAAGCAGCACAGCTTATAAAATAACTCCGGTTTATACTAAGCAGCACCTTACTGATTATTCTTTACACGTGACGTCTGGATGTGGTGACATCATGATTAGCCTGGTTAGTAATGGAATGCACTATCATAAAATGTCGAGAGTGC